ATTTTATTTAATAAAATGTTAGTCTTGCTATTAAAGCATTATTTTTATTATTATTATTTTTTTTAATAAATAATATATTGCAGAATCTGCAGAATTTAATTTTACCAATCCTTATTATTTTCCATTTACTTTAGAATAATTTAAATAATTGAGTAGAAATGTTTTTTTTTTAAAAATCAAATTTTTTGTTTCTTTTCTCGACCCAATCATTGGAAAATACCACATGAAAATATAGTATTTTTTAAAAGTTCTTAATTTGTCTTTAATAGCTGCTAAATAAATATCAAAAAAAAATTTAGATGAATTAGGTAAAATTTTGAAAGTCAATTAAAATTGCAGGCAAATTTGCCTACAATTTTAATTAATTTTAATTAATTTTTAAATCAAACTTTTACTAATTAGCCTAAATTTTTTTTTGATTTTTACTTTAAATAGTATATGAAATTTATTATAAAAATATTAAATTTACAAAAAAACTTTACTTTAAAATATTTTGTTAGAGAGAAATATTTTGTATTATCAAAAATACTAAATATTTCTCTTTAACAAAATTTTTAAAGTAAAGCTTTTTTGTAAATTTAATATTTTTATAATAAATTTCATAAGCTATTTTAAATGAAAATCAAAAAAAAACTGTAAATTAATTAGTAAAAATTAATGTTGAAAATTAATTAAAATTAATTAAAATTGCTGGCAAATTTGCCTGCAATTATATACATTTAAATTACAAATTAAAGTTAAATTAATAATTAAAAACTTTAAATTAAATTTAAGAATAATATAAAGTAAAATAAAATAAATATTACATGAAAATTTTGTAGTTTTAAGATAAATGTATAAAATTTAATATAAAATTTAATTTAAAAGTTATAAAAAATTATAAATTATTGAAAATACAAAAATTTTGCTCTAATAAAAACTTTTCTAAAATAAAATATTTATTAAAACTAATATTTTTATAATAAAATTTATAATGAATAATTGTTTAAAATTACAGGCAAATTTGCCACCAATTTTTTACCATTAAAGGGATAGTAAATAATTGTGATTTTTAATAGTATGTTATCATTATTTTATATAGAATGAAATATTTCATGGTATATAATATTTTTTGTTTAGCAATTATTACTATTATCTATAAGAATTTTAAGATACTGATATGATGTCACTCTTGATAGAGCAACATATAGTTGACCATATGAAAAAACAGGTTAAGGTAAATAAATACCAACCCTATTTAAAGTTTGTCCTTGTGATTTTTTAATTGTCATTGAAAATGCAATATGCATAGGAAATTGACACCAATTTAAAATGAAGAGTAATTTAGTTTCTGATGGAGTTAATATAATACGTGAAATAAATATATGTTTACTAATATGTGATTCTGTTATAATCTCAGCATCAATAACTTTACTCTGAAACCCATGACAAATCAGTCTAGTTCTATTACAAAGACCTTCTGATAGATTTAAGTTTCGTAGGAGAATGATTGGTATTCCTAATTTTAACTTCAATTCACCAGGAGGAAGTTCAGGAATTTTTAAAGATCTTAAAAATTCAGGTAAATAAGTTTGGGTTTGTTCTACTGTACTATCATCTGGTAAATTTACTAAATCAGCACTGGGATATAAAATAACTTCATCAGGTATTCTTTTCATTATAATATCTGAAATAATTTCAACATTGATATTTTTAGGAGTTAAGATTGCTTTACTAACCATATAATTAGCATTATCAGAATTTTCAATCAAATCTGGATAAATAAAATCAATTAGGTTTGTTAGAGTTCCTTTATGTATTGTTATATCTGAAGGAAGAGTTATTATATTTTCTATATTAGAATTAATTGTATATGTTTCATCACCAACTTTTAAAAGGAATTCTGCAAATTGCCTTTGTTTCAAATTTTCTAATGGATTAGAGGTTTTTTGAAGTCTCATATTTGTTATAATTTCATCATTTTAATATGAATCCATAAAGATGATCGAATTAAACTTGCTGAAACAATATCAACACGAAGTGAATGTGGTATAATGGGAAAGACTTGTCAAAAATCTCCTCTAAAAACAAATATCTTTCCTCCAAATGGTTTGTTTACTTATGTAATATCTCAAAATATTCGATCAACTGTTTCAAATACAAACTTATTCATCATAGAAGCTTCATCTCAAATAAAAAGCTTTGCTATATTAATTAGACATGCTAATTTATCATTACGAGAAATTTTACATGTTGAAAATTCATCTATTTTAAATTGAATTTTAAATCGAAAATGTGCTGTTTTACTACCATGTATTAATAATTCAGCAATTTTAGAAGATGCTACTACTATTGCAATATCACCTTGTGACCTAATATTAACTAGTAAGATATTGTAAAGAAAAGTTTTTCTACTACCAGCTGGATCATCTATAAAGAAACAACCACATTCATTATTAATTGCTTGAATAATTTTGTTATATATTAAATGCTGTTTTTTATTCAATAAAGGAACATTTTGACATACTTGTTCTATCAAATAAATGGTATCATATGATCTTTCTTCATAAATTAATTGATCTAAATTATTATTAGCAAAGTTAGAATGAATATTTTGTATTGAAGGAATTGGCATATGAGGAAAATTTTTTAGCGACATTCCATTTGATTGAAGATAATGTTCTATTTGGTTTAATGCTTCATTTTCTATTGTATCATTTAATATAATAGTTTGTGAAGGAGTAAGTTGTTCTACATTATATAAAATATCTTCACATAATGCTAATTTATGAGTATTCCATAATTGTTCTGGTATTAAAGGTTGGCACATAAGAAGAATCTTAACAAAAATGTGATGTAATTACTTTTCTGTTTACATATTATTTGCTTTATATAGACATATATTTCATTCATTATCATTTTGAAGAAGTCCAAGACAAGTGCAAGCTTCTTTAAAGGTTCTACATATCTGTTTTCAAATGAAGTAGCACCAGTTACGTATGTAAGTATCATTCGTAAGTAATATCATTCACCTTCTATAGGTTGAACCATATATAGCCTTCCTATTACTCCTGTTGCATTTTTTCTACGATTCCACTTGTAAAGTTTTGCATTCTAAGTATAATATACTAGAAAGTCAGTATATTTATAATTTTGTGCTTTAGTATTATTCATATTTTCTTGAAACTAAGCTGTTAAAGTAGCTTTATATCTAGTTTCATTATTAACTATATCATACAAATTATCTTCTTCAGAAAATGTAACTGTTTGGTGATTTGAAAGATGAACTGCTAATCTTTGTACATTTGAGTTATGTCCATACATTTTAAAATGAAAAATTCTCCATATACTTTCAGAAAATGAAACATATCATGCATCTAAATACATTTTAATTTCATCAATTAATTCATTTGTATCTATTGCCTCCTAATCTATTCTATTAATAGGTTGAGAAAATGCTACAGTTGCACGATCATGACCTTTATATACATATATATATAAATATTTAATAGCTAATATTGAATTGCAAATTTCAACATTTATATATGCATTATATTTTTCTACTAATTTAATATTATAAGGAATAACCCATCGGTTATCTAACTGAATTTCATTTCTAATTTCTATATAATGACTATCATATTATCGATAGTAAATTGGATATCTATTAGGATTTTCTTGTGTAGTTTCTTGAAAGTTTTTTGGATAATACTTTTGGCATTTACCATCTTTCATATATGGTGATGATGGATTTAATATACCATATCAAATGGAGGAATTCCAGATATTAATTCCCACATAATCATAGAAAAGCTATAAATATCACTAGCTAAAGTATAAGGTTGACCTCTTAAAACTTCAGGTACTACAAATGGTAAAACACCATAAATATCATTATTTTTAGATGATTGAAAATATTCTACAGGTTTACATAATCCTAAATCACTAATA